CAAAAATGTTCTGATGATTCTACCACATCCGCGTCATTATTAAAGTCGCATAATTCGGTAAATCGACAAAACGTACCACCTTTTGTTATTCCAATTTGACATAATTCCTTATTTTCTGAAACAGCTGGGGAGATCCAGTTAGGCCATTTTTTCCAAAGGTTAACCGATTTAGAGTCCCAATCTTGAGTAACTCAACTATTGGAGTTCACGAAACCCTTTCTTTTCACGACACTCATTAATGGTTGCGCCCTTAGTGGCCTGTCGCAAATTATGATAGAGATGCTGGGTTCCCGTCTGGGAGCATTTGATAATTTGACAATGGATATGACAACGTATCGGACGCGAAGTCGGCGCCTGACAACCTTATCGCATCAGAGACTAGTTTCAGTTTATTTATATTTGCTTATCCGAATGTGTGCGTATCAGTTTGCCCTGTAAAATCATTCTCGTAGTTCATATTTGTTGTGCTTTCTATTGCCATCTTGGGATGGGTGTTATGATAGTAAAGTTGAAAGGTTGATTTCAAAATTTAATACATTTTAGATAGGGAAATGACGATAATAAATAAAACCACTTTTAAAAAGCCACGATAATGTTCACCAAAACGTGTTCTACATTATTCGATTCAAATGACCTTTCCTCATTCCATTGAAGTAACAAAGGATAAGGTGTATTGTTTTGTTGTGGATCCTTTTTTCACTGAAAATACAAATATTGTACAGACACAGCTGCTATTGAGCACCGACCGATACAACGATCTTATTCGACTCTCAACTTGCTCTGCTACCTTTAGAATTTTGATTGACGGGAATAAAGGTCATTTGTTTGTTCAAATAACCTGATAAACCGCTTGATTACCAATTAACTGAAATTCTCTTAACTCATCCGGAGGTATGTTTAAACTCTGAAATGTATAGAAGTAATGTTAATTATTATTATTTCACACCATATATTTTTAGTTTTTCATTCCAGATTTCCCTTCAATTGTATGAGTGCTCACTCTGGATAATTTCATTGTAGGTTCTACTGCCTACGTTGTACACAAAGATACCTTTGCTCTCATGATGGCATCGATATCCATAGATCAGTGATCAAAATATCAGATGCATGAATGAATTAATATTCTGCGAAAAAATGTCAATTCACTTTCAAAGTAAAAATTGGTGATGAAAATCAGTTTATGTGGTCGTTTTGGTGGCCAGAATGTAACATTTAATTAACTGCCATTGATATCTGTCGACTTCCATACTCTAAAATATATCTCATTATTAGAAGTATAACAGTTAATGGCTGTACATCAGAGTGAAACACAACAGTGAATTACTTACTATCCACAAAACCAAAAAAACAGAGAACAGTGTGCATTTCATTACCTGATTGCTTTGTTTGCGTCTATGGGACAAATTTACGGGAACGAGAATATTACGAAAACGAGTGCTTCGTTGAGTAATCGAGTGAACCGTGTAGACAGACAGATCGGTGTACCATGTGGTATTTGTTTGTGTGATGTTAGAGAACTTTTATAACAAACGTCTAGCACGCACCATTGTGAACAGCACATAGGTCTTCAACTAACATTTCTATAAGGTGATGGCGAATTCACGACTGTCGTTTCGTCAGGAACCACTTCGAATTCTGTTTCAAGCAAACCACGAAACTTGACTGGGCAATAGTATAAAAAGAAGGTGGACGAGGTAGACTGGAGACAATGGAAGAAACCCCTGGTGAGACAATTTGATACTGTTCAAGTTTCTGAATCTCAAGAGATACTAATGCAGCCTTATTTAGCAGGTGCAACTCAGAGATTTCTCTAGCATAATATCGAATGATTATACAGAATTTGTACGGGTCAGGGAAGTGGAATTCAGCACAATCCGATCACTTGGAAAATAAGACTGTGAAAGTCAGAAAATTCATTCAGCACATTCTGAATGGTTTAGTACTAGATTATAGACTGATCAAACTCGGAATTAGAGCAAGAGATGAGTGTGACTTGATACTTTGATAACACAAATCAAATGGATGACATACTTGAGGAGATAGCGTGAATAGTTTGAAGGAGTTTCATCTTTTCTGAAGAGAAATAATTAAGAGATAGTGTCAAAGGAGGGAAAATAATAAACAAGAACAAAAGATGGAACGACCTACGGCAATAGTTCAAAGGAAACATGAGTCTAAGTGGATTTATTAGTTTGAAATTAAAAACTGCAAATTTTTGTATGAGTCGGTGATCCAGGAATGAAGAAGACATAGAACAGGGCGGTCAGTGCTCTTATATGCGGATGAGATTGGAGTGGTGGGACGCACTTTCTTTGAATGAACGTAGAAGCGGGAATTCCCCGATTTGGAGTGTATATACTGTAATATGCCGGGACCGACCCCAGATCTGAATCCAATCGAAACACACTGGCAGGAGGTTGACTCCGGGAAATGCAGCCCGAGATCTTGCAACGCTAGCGTCGTTCCAAAAGGCCGAACAATCCCTGGCCACTAACTGACGCTCTCAGTGCACAGGTAGGACACACTGCTCGCAGTAGGTTCTCCGTGGAGGGGGATTCCAGTCACCTGCAAGACAGGGAAAATACAAAAAGCAACCATGAACCAAAGGTCCAGTGAGACATGCACACGACTCACACAAAATTCAAAATGGCTGCACCTGTTTTCACTACATACCAAACTTTTAAAGATACCGTGTCAAAGTAGCCGTGGATTTAAAGAACATTCCAGGAGCAGACACAACAATCGGTTTCGGGAGGGGAATATCAACCCCTAGTTTTCTTCTTGTGCTTTGAGATGTATTACGGTTTGGATTGAGAACATATAACGATGCAATCAAGCCGATGACTTAAACTCAATGCTAGATACCGTGGTGTCACCAGCCAACGACAATCTGAATATTTGGGGCATCGGTCTGGACTCCCGGAAGCCTCGGGGGAAGCCAGACGGGAACACAAATTCTTTAAACCTCTACATCAAGTCAGAGATTGCCCACCTCACGGTTTATTTCAATCTGGTTCATTATTAGAAAACAAAGCACCGTAGGGCAGATGTGGATCAAGCATCCGTAGTGTTGTGAGTTTGGTTCCCAATCGAAGAGGCGGTTGGTGGGTTCTCAGGGCATCTGGGAGCGGATTACAGGGTTTAGGGTTGTTAAGATAGTAGAGGGGAAAAGACTGTTGAACTGTGTGGCCACTTATCATTTAGCAGCCTCTCGTGAAACGATGAACACAAATCTTGCAGATTGAATGTTTCCCTTTGTGCCATCCCACTTACTCCTATCCACGTGGCTCTTCCACAAGCACCTCTCTTCATCCAGGCATGTTTTGTGGAACTACGACAGTGGGGAGTGCCCTATCCGACCCAGAAGGTAAATAAAAATTGTTTTGCTCAATGAACAACCATGTGACTCTAAAACACGTCGTTTGACCTCATCATTATTCACGGGATGTTCCTGCCATAGTTGAACAATGCAGATAATAGTTACCGAAGAAAGATAGTCATCGTGTTAGAGCAATACATCACGTTGCACAGTACACACGCGTTTTCAATGAAGGATATGTGGTACACCAGCGCCAGAGATAGCGCAGATGAGCAAAAGCCAATCCTGCTTTAATTACGCGGTAGAAGATTCTTTACCCACACTTTCGCTAGCTTTCGAGGTAGACTAGGATTTCAACCATTTCTGGAATGGTAGCAATATTTGTATACTACCAACGTTCGGGTCCGAACACAAGAAAAGGGATCTGTTTAGCATCAGAAACATAAAGGTTTCGCTGCGGGCACCAAGTGATACTAAAAACTAAATAATCTTTTCATTTCTCACAGCAAGTCGTCGAAACCTCTTGACTGTTATTGACAGAGTTTACCATATTTCTTTCGGATTTCACTGAAGTATATGGAGCACTTCACGCTTCTACAAGTTGCTAGATGTTTTTCCGGAACAGAACAATAAGGTGTCATCCCAGAAACCTAAGATGTTTTGTGTTATCTGATAAGTCCCAGCACAGACTTGCGACCAAATCTCCTATCTTTTCACATTATCTACTTGTGAGACTTCACGTTTCATACAACAACGTTTTTTTAATTATAAATGAGCTCGCCACTAATACAAACCCCAAAGATCATGATTCTCGTGGCAAAAAAACAGTAACCTATACATTTATGAGAGTGGGTGTGTTGAAACAGAAGTGACCAGCTATGAACAGTAAAAAGAAAATAGCTTTTTGAATGAGAACGAAATAAAAAATAAAACCATGTGATCCATGGCATAGGAAAGCAATTTGTGCAACGGGTATCCAGATGTGAAATTCTTTAATTAGCAATCAATCCCATTGAGAAATCAGATGATACAAGTAACCAAGAATCACTCACGACAACCGCTTGGATCTCCTACGCTATGCGGAAATATAATTTCTTTTTTTCAAGGTGAAAACAGAATGCTTTTAGCTAAAGTTCAGAAAGTTACTATAAACGGCTGGGTTGCTCCGATTCAATCCGAAGTATTTTGAGCTTTTGGGACTCTATACGTTTCATGTTCTCGAGATTTTCAGTGTTCAAGCTGTTTCGTATGCTGCAATAATTGGCTTTGGAGAAATGTTTAATGATTTGAAATTCTAAACACCGGTTCGAATGTTGTGAGACAGACCGTGAAACAAAGACGCTAATGAAAGGCATTGACTACTGTTTGGATGGCTTCTTCTGATAGATGATACATGTTACCGAGTCTCGCGATCAATCAGCAGGGTTCAGTTTCTTCATCACATGGAACCTTTTGTTTATTGTCAATGTGAAGTAACGGGTATGACGGGGAATTGAGTAAGAGCAAATGGCGAGCGGTGATGACTGCGTTGATCTTTAGAGCTAACATTCACTGCTGTCTGTGTGCATTCTGATTCCCATTCGAGAATTTAACTGTCTTGTTCAACGGTACAGCAGGCGATTATCACTTATTTGAATTTACCCATAATTTTCTATATCATTATTTTCAACTTGGTTTACAGTCTTGCGATTGTCAATGTTCAAAATCGACAGCAAGCTAGCTCCCCACGCCGATTCGCTCATCTTGGTGGTGTGCTGAACCGAGCCGCAGCCGATCCGCAAAGTTTGGAGCGTACTCGGCTCTACATGTCTGTCAAGGCCATCCAGCCGGACTCGGAGAAGCGAATGCAAGCGATTCAGGTAAGCTCGTGTGTCATTCACCATAAGCACAGAAATTGTTGTTTCATAAACACTTATCTTTAGTAACAAAATGGATCTCGGTATTCATAATAGGGATGAAGTTTCTTTTTAGAGTTATCGTCATAATCCGATTATCTCCGTACTTCGTCGTGGACCGGATACGAGTGAACCAAATCAATCACCTTTTCATTCGTTCGCTGTTTTTCTGTGGGGCATATGTGAGTGACACCGAAACGGTGGCTAAATGATTGCATACTAATAATAATCTCTTTGTAAAGCATTTGGGTTCGTTGTCATTCAAGTTCTCGAATTTCAAACCGCGCATGTTTGATTCTGCGCATAATGGTGTCCAAAACTGGCGTCCTGTATACCAGTTTGTTTCAGTCTCTTTGGCTGAAAAGAGTGCACGGAGTTGGTTCCATCATTATCACCCCACAGAGAGTGCTGCGATTGATGTTGAACTAAGCACTACAGGAAAGTACAGCAGATAGAACGTTACAAATGCGGTCATTCCCGTGCGTCGTCATCATTTGCCACGACTTGCACTTATACTTACTCACACACACGCACACACACACACACCTGTGCACAATCATCACTTAACTAAAAAAAAGCGTTACGTTCAACGCAGAAAGCAAAATGGATTTGTTAACCCATTCTACACTTCCGTGACCCGTTGAAAATCCCTAGCAACTTCAACTACCAACTCCCCTCTCTCATACAGCTCGACAAAAAAATGTGGGTACCTGAATAACATTGGTTCCACTCTGTTATCTCTATGTGGAAATAAATCTTTTTATTTTCAAACCTCCAATTCCACCGAAATGTTTTAAATCGAGAGAAAATAAAATTGTCCACGTGTAGTGGCTTTGACCGCTTAACCTCGTTTGGGAACTCGATGTAACATCAGTATGTTGATTTCACTAAAAAATACTTAAAAATATTTAGTGCACAGTTATTTATCATTACTCGGAATCCTCTATACTACGACTGCATTGAATCTAACCGGATTCGAACTTGAATATTAGATGTCAGCCACTGCGGTTATTCATGCTGGACTTGGGTACTGAATCTTCAATCGAAAATTGGCGATGGCAATATTGAATAAAATAATAATAATACTTTACTAGGTGTGATACGGACGAGTTATGCATGTATGCATTTAAACCCTTGAGTAGCAAGCACTTTTTTGCTTATTTAGGACTGTTTATTATGTACCCCAATTCACTGACCGTTTCTGGGAAAACGGATAAAACATGACCAAAAGGGATCACGCGATTCTCGTTATCGAATCTTAAAGTTGAAAACTTAAGAGACTGAAGTTTTTCCCACTTGCTGGTCACATAAAGTACACTATTGACCTGACCTTACTTGGCTTAATTGAAGTAAAACCGAACTTATACATTTGGTCCTTTTGATTGTTTCTCTTTCGTACTCTAACTGTATGCTTGTTCTAGTGTGTCTTTTACGTGAAATATGTTATCCTCATCCCCGCTCAGTAGGTGTTATAATTCCAGGAGACCGGTGCTGGCTCGAAGAATGCAATTTGCTGGGAACCAGAATTAGGGTATGGATAATTTTTCGTACATATAACAAGATATCTTATTTGGAACATTTCATCGCAGTTCCCGGCAGAACACAGGAACGGGCCGTATTCATTACTTTAAGCACAGCAATTAGCTCTAAGGAGCCTTGTTCATTTTCGACCGTTGAAAGAAGCCACTACCCACATTATTTTGGATACTACTAACAAATTTGAGTAGTACCTCACAACATAAGTAAACAGAAACACGTTTGAATGCATTTATATCATAGTGCTTAACTCTTTTCGGTTCTTTGTACTCATATGTGTCGGAAAAATTAAATAACTCTCCTCAATTGCTGTCATGGAACAGCATTTGGTTAACGTAGGCAAGATGCCACCAATCAAAATTATGACGTAATTATTACTTGATTGAAAATGTATACTGCTATCGAGAAAAGTGACTGATACACTGTCCTAAGCGTGCCTCGTCCTTTTTGGACACGGATAAATGACCTCCGTTATTTCAAGTCTAGCTGTATGTTACAGCTCTTGGTAACCGATTATCAGAAAACCACAAGAAACCAAGGTCATCAGCTGCAAAACACACCATGACAACAAGGTACACGATTGAGCCTATTTCATCTTCCCAGCCACCGTTACGTTATCACAACGCTAAACCTTTGGTAATTAGTGAAACGGTGCGTATTCGAGATTTCATCGTGTGCTTGCATGGACACGAACGTTTTTGACATAATCAATTCACTTACCGCGGAGTGAACCTTCCACTTCTATGTTTAGTGATCAAATTTACTTGTGCACGTTCGTGGACTATGATTGATCAAGCTGGTATGTCTCGTGTATGCCAGTATGTTTTACGTCAGCGACCGAGGAGTTTGAACGAAATGTTGAATAATACGACATTTCCCTTTTTCAAAACTGATGAGAAGAGAAGTGATCAACTGTAAGATTTTGTTCGAACTAACAATGCGTTCGAGCTGATTCAGACCGTGGCCAACGTTTCCTTAACAAAGATCAAACTTATCCAGCTCTCAAACGATTATCTCGCCAAAAGACTTCGAAAGATTGTAATTCTCAAATACTGTTAAACTATCCATCAAGACCAAATTCGCATATAATAAATATTAGTTTTCAATTTTATTATAATTCTGCAATAAATCGGTAACTTACTACTCATGCGGAACACAAAAATAGCAATGACCGGTTCCTGACAAGCGATACGAAACCGAACGATGGGCAAATACGAAAACTTATTGATTTGCAGTGCCCCAGTACAAACTTGTTCAGTCAATCTTGCAATCCCAGTCAACAGGACTGACAACGGAGAACGCCTACTCCAACTTTGTGCTGACCGCGGACTGTTTCTGTCAAGCACGAAATTCTCGCACAAAAAACGCCAACCTCTTACATACAGACCGCCGACTTCTTCACAGCACTGGACCCAAATCGACCACATTGCCATCAGCCACCGCTGGCGAGGATCCATTGAGGACTGCCGCTCCTACTGGTCAACAAACGTGGAAAGGGACCATGCTCTGCTACGAGCGAGATTCTCTCTACGTCTAGTAAACAAACGCAGAAAAGTCACCGAAAACGGATGCCCAAAATACAAGATCAGCAAAGGTTGTAAATCGGCTTTCGAAGCGGAACTATCAGATCGTCTCTCAACTCAACCATCAGCCAAAGGACTCAGTGAGCACTGGACGGCAATCAAGGAAGCGATCCAGATGTCAATGGAAACAACAGCAACTTCTGACTCACGATAAAATAAAAAACGATCGATCTCCCCGACCTCGGTTACTCTATTGGACGCCAGCAAAGCCATTCCTTCGGATTCAAACTACGACAAAACGCACAAATCTCAAACGCCAGCTCAGCAAGAGTCTGAGGAATGCCCGCGAGAAGTGGTGGTTGGTAAAGTGTGGAGAGGTGAAAAAGGCTGCTGAAATCGGTAATAGTCACAATCTTTTCCGATTACTTAGGGGTACAGGACCAAGGAAAGCAGGCGTAAGTGTGGTAATTAAGGAGTCCGACGGCACTTTGATCCATATTCAGCAAAGCCGTCGAGATCGCTGAAAAGAACATTTTAAGTCTCAGTTCCGCTGGCCCTCGTCAGTACACGACCTCGCTAAACCCGATTCAACTGTGCAAATATTGCCAGTTGACATCAGTCCTCCATCCGAAATAGAGGATACCCGAGAATTAAGCAATCTCAAAAGGTATGAGACTTCCGGCTCCGACGGAAGGATGGAGGTCTAGTCTTGGTTTTGGAGTTTACAAAACTCCTGAGTTCACTGGAGGAAAATGAACAGGTTCCAACTGAATGGTGTGAATCGGTGATCATACCGATTTACAAGAAAGGTGATCGATCCTCCTGTGAATACCACAGAGGAATTAGTTTAATCAACATCATCTCTAAACTTCTCGCCGGCATCATACTTCGTCGATTGTCTGCCGCTTGGGAAGAGTGCACATGTGAGAAGCAGTCTGGTTTTAGACTTGGTCGAGGTTGTATCGACCACATCTCTACTCTTCGTCAAATCCTAGAACACAGACATTCTTTTCGTAGACCCACCATTTCCATCTTCCTCGATCTAAACGCGG